CCACCCCTTTGGTGCCCCCAACCCCAGTCTGTCTCACCTGCCACCGATTCACACCCTGCCTGCAGGACACTACAACCGGCAACCTCACATTCCAGTTCCGCCTGAACCTGCCAGGCACCACCAGCAAGACCTGCCTGCGCGACCTTGGGGGAGCTGCCTGCACCTGCGCCGCCGGTGCCTCTTGAATCGGTGCCTTCCCAATCAAGAGGGGACAGGCTGCCGGCGGCGCCCGGGCGGGTTGAGGCGCCTGCGGCTCTCAGAAGGCTCCTGAATCACCCGCACAGGGTTGGGCTAGGCCCACAAGTCGTCTGGCCAGGCCTGGGCGCCCCACTGTTGATGCAGCTCGGGTTCGAGCACGCTGCACATATGCAATGCTGGTGCATGCCACATAAGTAATGCAATCGGCACAACAGATACAGTCAATCACCGGTCAACACGCCGACTATGAATGCTGACGTCGCCGCACCCCCCGTTAGGGTGGCGTCTGCGACCCCGACAATTGCGAATGTACACAATCAGGCTGAGAGCCTTCATGTTTCCCATGCCTGCATGCTTGCCCCTCCGCTCCGACGTTGACGGTCAAGATTCAATGCCCCTGGAAACCCCCTCCGCACCGTGGCGCGACGAGCCGCACGCGGACCAGTTGGTCTGAACACACACTTTCTTCGGCTTGCGGATGCTTGTGAATCCAAACGACTCAACAAACATGTTGGCTCATTTGCCAATCCCGCGTGGCGCGGAGCCTCCCGCCTTCCTCAAGGATTGTGCCCTGGCCTGGTACGCGGCGGAGCACAAGACAGCGCGCTTTCCTTGCTGCAAACTTCCTCATGTCCGCTGCTGGGCCACGCTTGCCCGCGAGCGAGGACGCAAACCCGACTTTTTATACTAATCTCTTTCCTTGACAATGTGGCCTCTGGCCACGCAAAGGAGTGCTCACCTCCCTGCATAGACCCGCACCCTGCTTCTCTTGCAGGGGCCAAAACCCGCACTGGGCTTGCACTAATAGGGGCTTCCCCAGCCACGCAACATTCATCCTGCATGTGCTGCGGCTTTGCCCCAACAATTGTGGGTCAAACCAGGTTTACTTGTTGTGCGTGAGCCCTGGTGGCCACCACCATCGCGGCCCACCTTGGCTTGTGCACAGCCGTCGCGACGGCACAGCCGTGCGGGCTGCGCCGACCGCCGGCAACGCAGATTTGCCGCTGATGTCACGCCGGCTGCATTGGGCAATCGCCTGAATGTGCCGCATGCCAGTGGGGCCCCGGTGGTAATTGGCAGCATCTCACCTTGAACAAGCTGACAATGCAAGCAGTGCTGATGGTGGACCACCATGTTCACTTTTTGTTTCACACACTGGGCGGCATAGCCCCATCTTGCCCAAACGCCTTCCGGCTGGACGGTACGTGCCATGTGCACGTTGGTTGTTGAGCAAACGTGCCCATGGCAAGGCAGGACCCAAGTCGCAGCCGCGGCAGCTCTGCCGCGCCGCGAGTGTCTCTTGCTGCCCAAGTCAAGGTCCGACCAGCTTGCCTGCGCCGCCTCATGCGGCCCTGCCGGCCTTGTGACAACGACCTGCTGCCTCGTGCTCTGCCCATGTATGGGGCGAGTCGGTGCTGATGCGCCAAGCCCCTTGCGAGGGCCTAAGTTGGTTCAAAACAACTGCTTGCTGCAGGGGGGGGGGTAAAACCTGTTGTGGGCGCCCTGGAGGGTTGATTACTGGAGGCGTCAACCGCTTGGCCTAGCGACATGGACCCACTGAAGGTGCAGGGCAGGGGCGCCACCGCGTTTGCACCAAACAAGCGCACCATTTCTCCGAGATCCTTACTGCATGCGCAAAGCCGCATTTGACCATCCATTTGCGCGGCATGCCGCATCTCTATCAGACCGGTATTACCGGCGTGCTTCATCAGGAAGGCGCATCACCTCTTCGTGCCTCTTAGGGCTGATGACGTCGCCTGGTCAAACTTCCATGTGCTGCAAAGCACGCACGGACTGCGGGCCCCATCCCACAGCTGGGCGCGCTACCACTGCTGGCCGCACCGGCACGTCGAGAAATTGCAATTGTAACGGGTCAAAGGGGATGACGCTTAGCAGGGTTTGGCTGCAAGGAGCAACTCCCACTTTGGCCACATGCTGGGGCCTTAAGGACACAGCCGCGCGGCGATGAGGGAAGGCCCAGGCAGCCGGAACCCGATTAAAGGGGGTGTCAAGGCCGGGCGTGTTGTGGGCAACCCCCCTGCTGCACACGCCCACCACCTGGCATCCGGCGCCCCCTGCGCAGCAGGGCTGCGGCTCCAGATGCTCGCGCGTACTGACAAGGGCAGCGCCCTGGGCTGGAGTTATCAGCAAGAATAGCGCCCTAAATTGCGGTGCTGTGGATTACGGATGCATGAATGTCCCCTCGTCACCGCTGGCCGAGGCGCCGTCCTTCCCGGGCTGCTGCCGGTGACGCACTGCGCCGGACCTGACCCCGCATCGAGCCAAGCCAGCAGCCCGTGAGATTACAGGAATGCACCGGGCCTTGCCTGCACTAGTCCAGAGGGGGGCCAGCAGCCACCGCCTCGGGACACACTCGTGCAACATATACAGGGGCGAGAGGAGGTCGGGCGCCCCTTCAAGCAGAGCCCGCCCGCAGCCCGCCCCGGCGGCCTGAAGGGCGGGGCCCGCGCGGCGCCAGCCGCCCCTCGGGCCCCCCCACTGCTGCTGCCGTCGCGACCGCTGCCGCCCCGCCGGGCTGCCGAGAAGCGGGGCGCGGGGCCGCGGCGTACTATGTACGTTGTGAGGGGCCCATGACACGATGCGGCCACCCACGGGCGCAAGGTGCGACCGTTTGGCGCCCTCCTACGAGGTTGCGGCGGTAGCCTCGAAGTTCTCCACCAGGTCGGGGACATCTGCGGTTTGGTGGGCAGGCGAAGGTGGGAGTGGGTGAGGTGTCGGGGTAGGAGGGTGAGGAGTTGGGGTGACGAGCGGGCGCTGGTGGGGTGGGATGGGGGAGTTGCCGTGGGGAGCACTAGCGATCGGCGTGCGGGCGGAGGGGGATGAAGTAGGGCAGGGGTGTGCAGGAGTTGGAGAAAGGACAGGGCAGGAAGAATGGGAGCAGGCATCTACAGGCCGGGCAGAGGGGAGGTTGATGCTGACAGGGGGCGGCCGGCGTCCGCGGCACGCCAGGGGATAGGGAGATGGCGTTCCACAGATCCAACGTCAAGGGTCGTCCCAAATTGCTCAATGGTCGCCCCGCCCAAACAGCGCGCCCCATGGCATGGCGCGCTGCCGGCTCGGCAGCGGCCCTAGGTTCGCGCACCGTCGTCCGCCTCCTCCACGGCCGCGCCTGCGCCGCCCTCCCCCTTGAACTGCGCGAGGGCACCCGGGTCCGGGGCGGACGAATGGGTGGGTGGGTTGAGGGCGACAGACGCGCGCCGCATGCCTACAGGCCGTCCCTTTGGTAATCGTACGACGTGCGGCAAACTGCTGTCAAGAGGACGCTCGCCACACATGCCCGATCACAACTCGCTCAAACACGCAGTGCTCGTATGCAAGGACAGGGCTGCGTGGGTACGCCAGCAGTTGTGTTCAGCGCGCATGCAGCGCGCATGCAGGCGTGCACGCGTGTGTGCACACACACACACACACACACACACACACAAACATATACACACATACGCGCGCACACCCACCCACACACCCACACACCCACCCACACATGTGGGCCGCCCACCTGCTGCATGAGCTTCTGCAGGTCGCCGCCCTGCATCTGGGCCAGCATCTGCTGCAGGTTCGGGGGAATCAGCTCTGGGGGGGGGGTGTGCGTTACAGGGCATACGGGTTGATGCGTGGAGGTATTGGTAAGACCAACGCGCGGGCTGGCGAGCGCCACTGCAGCTGCCGCTGCCTGGGTAGTGGTTCGGAGGCGTGGAAGCCTGAAGCAGTTTGTGTGGCGCGGCTGCTGATGTGGTAGCAGCTGCCATGCACTGCAGCCGCGTGTGGGCTGCGGCGGCTGCCATGCTGCAGGCTGGGGCGGCAGCGCCGCCCTTGCTGCCGGCCGCTTGCGTGCCTGCCATGCGGCGCCGCGGCGCGTCCTGCCTCTGCTGCTAACCACCTTCCAAGCGCCGAGCAAGGTCCCCCCTCTCAAAGCCCCAGCGGCTGCCTGCAATGTCCGAGCCGGCGGCGGGCCCCTGTGATTCGGGAGATCCTCGCACCCGCCACGTTCTTGGTCTGCGAGGGGCCGCTGACCACGTATGTGTTTGCTGCGATGGAGGCTTGCACTGCGGGAGGGGGCACGAAGGCAGGGGTGAGCCGCAGCGACCTGGCCGCCGCCCCTCCCTGCGCCACTCCAGGCAAGATAAGGACCGCGTGGTTTCTGCTGCAGTGCCCACCGATCGGCAGGTCGCCCACCGCTGTGCTGCTGCGCTCGTCCGTACCGCCACGGACACCCCCACCTGCACTCGCTCCGCAACCGCACGCGCGCCCTTCCCCGGCCGTCCCGCATGAGCCCACCACCCGGCCCCCAGCGCGCACCCTTGGGGTTGGTGAAGTGGATGACCGACTCGCCCTGGAAGATGTTGACCTCCTCGATGCCCGGGATGGTGTTGACGCCCAGGCGCTTCAGCGTGCTCTGCAGCCGCTTGTCGTCCGTCGTCGCCGTCTTGTGCACCGCCTTCTTCTTCCTGTGCGACACGGCCAATCAAGCCGCATTGAGCGTATACAGCTGCATCCCGCCACCGTCGCGGGCATTCGCACAGCACAGATCGCCGCCTGTCGCGCACCCGCGGACAGCAGACATCACGCACCTGCGCACGGTTCCCTTTCCACCGGTCCTTACAGCCGAAGCCATCTTGGCCAACTTATCCCGGTCCATGGCTCCCCTGCTGTCGGCGCGCCCGCTGCAGACGCGTTTGGGCTCGCTAGGAGCCTCGCTAGCCGAAACGGTATCTATGAATCCGCTTGGAAAGGACAGCAGCACGCGAACCGCTCGCTGAAGACCGCTTGACAAGCTGGAGCCCGGGAGGCACTGCCACACACACCTGCACCCGCCCGTTGATGAGATTCACCATGGGCCGTTGTGGAGTGCGATGAGCCAAGTAACGTTCGTTTAGGCCCATGCCGGCCCGCCAGGCCTGCCAGTCAGCTTCTTGGTCAAGGTACACTGCCGAGCTCCCGGTCACCCGTTGACTGCAGCAGGAAGCGTGGAGGGATGGCGCCCATGCACCGCACTGCAACACAGGCATGATAATTTGGGAAGCTTTTGCATGCGTCGGCATGGCACTGGCCTAGTGCCGCCTCACTCAGTGCAGGAAGCTGGGTATGAACGGCACCTGCGAGCTTGCACAAGGTTGCTGGTCTAGTACCAGCAGATGCCAGTGATTCAAGACAGCACCGGTGAATGAAGGCACTTGTTTGCATGCCGCACGAACCCAACAAATCTCCACAATATCAAAACCATTTTGCAATGAATGTGCTGTGCTGTGGCCGTTGTTATTGTTGGCGTAGGATTTGTATCCCTGCAATATCTTTCCTTCCCTGTACGATCATGCTCATGTTCGTTGCCCAGGGCCTGCAGACGGGATCTGCAGGTCAATGTCTCAGACATTGCAGCCGGTCACTGCTTATACACAGCATTTCTCTGCTGGCATCAGGATGAGGGTTTGGTCAAAGATGCCGCACCACAACCCCATTCCTTTCAGACTTCCGGTAGAAGCTTGAAGCTGCCAGGGCGAATTGCGTCAGGATACCTCAAGCACGCGCTTTACTCTGGCCACCCCCACCCTCTGCGCCCTCCCTGCTGCTCTCCGCCTCACAACCACGCTCGCACCCGTGCCCAATCCCACGCCCAAGGCCAAGCCTTATGCAGGTCGTGGAGACCGATAGGCCTGAGCGAGGGTACAGTTACAGTACACAACGTTCTGTGCCATCGCCGCGTAGCGGCTACCCAAGCTACGGGCAGCCAACACCAGTATCGACAGGCAAGGCCCGCCCTGCAGCCATTTGTCCTGTGGTAGTTGGGCGATCTGGTGTGCCCTCTGCCGTCAGAGCTGCGTCCTCTCTGGCTTGCGCCGCTCCTGGCCGAGGCAACTGTGTGACAGCAGGCCAAGGGCACCATTGCATGTTGCCAGGGTGATGGGGGTTCCATTGCGCCCTAGGCTTAGTTGAATGCCAAAATGAGACAAATCAGCTGTTTGGTTGCTATGCATGCATGTGTACATAGGGGCCGTGTGCGTGTGCGTGTATGTGGGTGTGGTTTTGTGGACGCTTCATTTCCCATCGACTGATGCAGAGTAACAGCAGACTGCAAAACCACACACTCTGCGAACGGGCCTATTATAATCAAAGCAATTACAAACTGATTGCTTGCTTCATACGCTGGGTCACAACAAACACAAAATTCAAGCACGGGGAAGATTGAATGCCTTCAAGCAGGCCATTATCTGCTGGCCAGCAGGTGGACAAGTCGGTAAAGAAGCAGGCACGCTCTTTGACGCCTCACATTTGAGCCGAGTGATTGATTGTGTGCTCAGCTGTGCAAGGGGCCTATCTGTTGGAAAGGGCAGCGTCAATTCTGCGCCACTCTGCAAGCACCAACTCTGCCATAGCACTAGGGGAGTATCGCTCAACCACGCGGGCGCGTGCCGCGGCCACCTTCTCAGCTACCTTGCCTTCTCGCGACGCCACGCGCCGCATCAGCGTCCGTAGGTGCGGCAAACTAGGCTGTGCAAACTTCGCATCGCCTTCAGCAGGCACAAGCTTTTCCACGGGGATAAGGTAGCCGACAGAGTCATCAAGGAAGGCAGTGATGCCCGACCAGTTGGTCGCAATGACAGGAAGCTGCATGGCCATGGCCTTGGAAAGCAACACGAGAGAACGGCGGTTGGTGGGTCAGATGATGGGTGCGAGGTTTGGTGCGCATGCTGGGGCTGTCAGATGGCGGCCAGCGCGGCCTTAAGTACGGTATAGCATTACTCGGTGGGATGTGCGTGCGGGTGGTGCCAGGCATTGAACACACGGCAGCGATGTAGCAGCGGGCCCGTATTCTCCATGCGTGTGTGGCGTTGCCTCGCACCTCCACAACCGGTCGTCCCCAGCCCTCGCCCCGCGAGGGCAATACAAATGCATCGCCCGATGCATAAAACCTTGGCAGCTCCACATCAGGCTGGGGTGGGACCAACAGCGAACATGGGAGGTGAGGAGAGCAGGCAGAGGAGACAGTAGTAACGAGACTTGAACAGGGGGGTGACGCAGGTCACCACCAGCAAGGAATGATCGCGGAATCACCCAGGCACCCGGCCGGGCCAGACAGGGGAAGCAACGCCAGCGCAGGATTTTGGGGAGAACAAGCCGCCCGGGAGCGAGAGCCAGCGCGAGCGCGAGCTCGAGCGCACGAGCCAGGGAGGGAAGGAAAGGGAAGAAGCAGCATCAGATGCGGGCAGGCAGGCGGCCCGGGACACCAGAAGGCAGGCAGACAGGCAGGTCTCACCATATGGCCATCAATGACATACAGGGTTGGCGCCTTAGCGGCGCCGGCCGGTGGCGCCTTGCTGCCTTCGAGGGTATGTCGCCGTCGGCCGCCCTTGGCTGCGATGCTGCGGTTCGCGTCGGCAGATGGCGCTGCTTCTGCTGGCGTGGTTGCCGTGAAGTTCCATTTCAACGTTTTCTCGGCCCAATCCTTGATTTCACCAGGATACTGCGACGCGCAGAGAATGGAGATGAGATTTTAAAAGGCATCCATCCGGATTGCAGGATAACACTAGGCAGAGAAAGGGCGCATACAACGTGAGACAAACTGCTACATGCAGTGCTCTGTGTGTATATGTATGTGTGTGTGTGATCAAGGCCAGGTCTCAATGAGCGGGTCTCAACAAGGGTGATGGCGGCCGCGTCGCACCTTGGCCCTGTCGCCGCTGAAGGGCTGCGTCAGCATGTAGAGCTCAACGTCGTCGTCAGAGGTGAACTCTGACAGGTAAGCCTCCAGCAGCACATCCCAGCCCTTTGAGAGGAGGTTGCGGTGCGGTTGGCCCCGCTCATCGTACCGGTTCAGGCTAGAGATGCGAGCTGACTGGCACATGGCGCAAGTGAAAGCATCAAGAAGCTGCATATAATTGGTGGGCGCAACATCAAAGCCACGCAACCCTGCTCCCATGCATAGAGAGCAAACACCGCAAGGTGCTGGAATGATGCGACCGCCATCACCCAACCTCCTGCAGCCCCCTGCACCTTTCGCGGTCGCCACGAAAAGACGCTGATGAAGCGGAACGGCTTGCTGGGCTGCCCCTGTTCTGCTTTCCGGGCTTTATGGGCCCAAGCTGAGCCCAGCACCAGGTTGGCGCGTGCAGCAATGTCCTCGAAGGGGCGGTGCTTTGCTTTGTCAAACAGGGTCGTGTTAACACCCTGTCATTTGGGTTGGGATGTTGATCAGGGGTCAACTAGATGATTGCAATGACAGCGAAATGGCGGGCTGCATCACCTGCAAAGTGAGCGTGCGCCTACACCCCCCCCACACACACACACCACGCACACACCTCTGGCACTATGCGCATGATGCGTTCATCAATGCCAGATGCCTTGAATGAATCGAACTGCCACTGGGTCAACACCCACAGCTCGTCCATGGTGTTGCACCTGGTGTCAGGCGTGTGATGGTGTTTTCGTCGTTCGTAAACGGCTACGTTGGAATGACCAGGCTGGGGTGTGTCTTGCTGATCCCTGCTGCGTCTGTAACATCTGCTTCAGCGCAACAGTGGCCTCCCCTCCCCCACATGCATAGGCGCACACGTCCCAATCCCACCTTGCCTTCCTGCCTGCCGCACGGGAGGGGCGATCACCCCATACATTACGCACACCCATGCGTGCACGCCGCCCTACACGCACCTCCTGGCAAAATCCTCTGATACACGATCCGTTTCATACATGGTGCGGCCCACCAAATATGACCACGGGTGAGCTGCGTGTAATGAGATGTGATATTGAGAGGCATGGCATGAAAAACGCCTTGGAAAATAGAAAGCATCTGGCAATTGTGACCATCTTCACCGAAACACATCAGAACATTACGGCCTGCAGCCTACGCAGCAGCCTCAGCCCGCCACAGCAACCATTGTGCAACCACCGTGCGCACCTGTGCGGTTGGGCGGGCATCTGTCGCCGTCCCTCAACGATGCCACCGGCGTCTCGAAGAAATGTGGCATGCTGTGGCACACCACGATGGCCGAACGGTTGCGCGCGCCGGGCGCCTTGGGGCGCGCCTCTGCCTCTATCAGGGCGGCTTTGTCAAATGGGTCCATCGCCTTGATGACGCCCTCATACCGGCCGGCGCCTAGGTGAGAGCAAGTGTGTGTATGAGTGTTGCGTGTTGCGTACTTGTGATGTGTGTGTGTGCGTGTAAATGTGCGTGCGTGTGTGATTGTTTACATGAGTGCATGTGCATCTGCTTCCGTTATATGGGTTGGCATGTTTTCTCTGTGGGGGTATTTCATGTGTGGCACAAGACTAGCGGAACAACCCTACAAGAAAGCTTGGCCTAAACGCATTCTTGCATCCAGTGCACTCCTGTCGCACCCGCTTGCAGAAGTGCTGCGCCTCAAACCCACCTGCACCAACTCACCCGCCCACCTGCCCACCCACCCACCCTGCAC